TGAGATGTAACTTCATAAATATTAATATGGTATCAGAACCGAGCCAAAAGAGCTACGAGGTTAGGATGAAAAGTTTTAAATACCTCATTTTTTGTATTTAAAGATCCTTAGTGCTGATGAGAATTGAAGTTTGTCTCATCGAAAGATATAAAGAGATAGTGTGCTCACCAAATAGTAGAAGTTGTCCGAAAATTTGGGTAGGGAATTAAAATCCTGAAATTCAAATTCATTTTGAATTTGAAAATAAACTGCTACCCCCTAATATCTCTCAACTCCCTCCTCACTGTGGGTGTGTGTCATTCGTGAGATTGTTTCTGTAAAACAAAATAAAAGGGAGTGTTCTGTAAAAACACAGAGAAGGAATAGTGTTGGATTGTCTCAAAATTCTTCACCACTCGAAGAATTCAGGCGGTGAATCGTGAGATTTTTCCGTTCGTGATTGATCTCCAACTGTGACTTGGTTTTCATGGATTCCGCTGCGACGCTACAAGAGGTTAGTATCCTACCCACGAAAAACCCGACATGTCTTGACCGAACCGACATCTTGCATGGCCGAACTGAGCTAAGTTTATGGAAATACACTCCTAGTTATTTGTCGATCTAATTAACATCATCTCGACTCAACCCCAGTCTCTGACAGATTCCACGACAACATGTCATAATTCACGGTCAACTACTGACTTTCGCATCGGAGTGTGTTCTATTTTGCAGATCATGTTTGTTTCGCAACCCCAGTCGAAAAAGGAGGAAGGCATGTTTGTTTGATTTAATTTTTCTTTCTTTTCCTTTTTTTTTTCTCTTTAATCTCCAAATGGACCGATCTTAAACAGACCTCATAATTGACAGCCATTTCATAATTATGTTAAATTTAACGGTGAGTTACTTTGATAAATCAATTGTCTCGTTTAGTAAGAGCACGTTGAGCTCCATGCAAGCTTCTATATGTTCTTATTAGCTGTGCGTCAGGAGGAGTGCCACACCCGTTATTTGGGTCTTCCTTCGTTTATGCCTCGAAACCGGGGCGGGCATTTGCACTTTATCCAGGACCGTATCTGGTCTCATCTTCAAGGCTGGAAAGGTAAATTATTTTCAGTAGGGGGTAAGGAGGTCCTATTAAAATCTGTGATTCAAGCCATTCTGTGTTATTCCATGAACTATTTTAGATTACCGAAGAGCTTGATCCACGATATTCAGATGATGATGGCCCGTTTTTGGTGGGGTGGTCGAGACGCTGGGTTAGCTGGAAACATATGTGATTGCCTAAATGTATGGGTGGTTTCGGGTTCCGTGATTTAGAACTATTTAATCAGGCCTTATTATCTAAACAAGGATGGCGGGTTCTCTCGAATCCCTCTTCTCTCCTTGTGTGGGTTCTGAAATTCAAATATTTTAAAGACTGTAGTTTTCTGGAGGCTTCTGTGGGGTCCAATGCATCTTTTATTTGGCGAAGTCTCTTGTGGGGTCGGAATCTGTTATGTGCTGGTCTTCATTGGCAAGTCGGTACTGGAGACAAAATCGAAGTTTATGATGACAATTGGATACCTCGTGACGGGTCTTTGGCTATTCAGTCGGTCCCAACTTTACCACGTAATAGCTTTGTTTGTGATTTATGTACTCCATCGGGCGTGTGGGATGTGGAGAAAGTTAGGGCACATTTTGTGGATGAGGAAGCTACAGCGATCCTGTCAATTCCAATTGGGGTTAGCCCGGTTGATAAGCTTATTTGGGATTATGAAAAAAGAGGGATTTTTTCGGTCAAGAGCGGGTATCGGGTTCTGCAGCAAGCTTTGATTTCCCAAGGTCCCTCATCTTCGTCTTTGGATTCAGTGTTGCAATGGTCGAAGGGCTTTTGGAAAATTCAACTCCCCAGCAAAATTAAAATCTTTGGTTGGCGTTTATGCCTTGACAGCCTGCCGATGGGGGAAAATCTCCAAGCTCGGGGTCTGGATGTGTTGTCTATTTGCAGATTCTGTGGATGCACAGGGGAAGGTGCGATGCATGTTTTCTGGGCTTGTACAAAAATCCGACGAGTGTGGGTTGCCTCCAAATTCTCACATCTCACCTGTCAATTGGGGGGTGCTGACTTCACTGATATGTTTAACTTTGTTCGTGGGTGGAAGGAGCTAGTTTCCTAGTCTGAGTTGGGATCTCTGTTGGTCCTGCTTTGGTCTATTTGGAATGCGTGTAACCGAGCCCATCAGCCGCTGCTCAATGATGGGTCTCTCATGGAGTTGGCGGCTTGGTCAGACAGCTACTTCTGCAGCTATCTACTCGCTCAAGGTTGCTGGTCCCCCCCTCTGGCCCTTTCTTTCCAGCGTCGGGTTCCAGTGTGGCGTCCGCCGTACTACAAAAAAATTATGTATTTTCAAAGGTCAGTATAAAATAAACCTTTGATAAATCCTTTTTCGAAGGTTTACTCAACTTTCAAAAAGTGTCGAAATAGGTCCCGTCGAAAAAGTTTTTTCGAAAGATTTGTTAACTTTCAAAAATTCATATTTTTCTAACGTTCAATTAACCTTCAAAAATTCATATTTTCCAAAAGTTATAAGCCTTTCATAATTCTTAAATTAATTGTCAATAATTAGTTAGTTTCAATTACTTTTTTCGAAAGTTTTCATTATTTTCTAAGGATCGTAATCTTATCTTCAACCATTTTTAAATCTTCAAAAAAAGTTCTTTATTGACATTTGTAAATCCTTCGAAAAAAACAAATAGAATGATAGTGTTTGAAATTAATATTAATTTAATATTATTTTTTTGAAAAAATTAAATTACTTTTCCTAGTTAAAATTTATAATTTCAAAACTAGATTCAACCCAAGCAAAATATTACTATAACCACTGCAAAAACAATCACCAAGTAGTCACTGTATTTCTAAAACTAATTCAAATAATACAAATACTTCAAATACCTAAAACAAACAAATTTTCTAACCCCGACTTTAGGATTTCTTTCACATCATCTCAGCCATCATTGCTTGAAATCGATGCTCAAAACGATTTTCTAATTCAATAATTTGATCTTTGAGTCCTTGTACCTCAACTTTTCTTTGCCGTTCACATTCTTGAAGATGTTGTTCTGACTCGTTAAGGCGTCGCTCAAGATCACGAACTTTGAAAGATGATCCAAACAACTCAGAAGGAGCAACACCGGCTCCATAACCTCGAACACGCACATGTTTTTCTGGTTCAAGGACTTGCACTAAAATCCCGTCGTTGTTCATGTCAAGTGTACCATCAATCACTTGAGAGGCATATGATTTGAGTTTCGACTAAAGACATAAATAAAAAGTTTAAAGACAAAAATAAGATATTTTCTAGTAATATGGAAGTAATATCGAGTAGAAATTGCAAAACAAATATCAAATAAGATCATCTCAAATATTGCTCGAGAAATATCAAATTGCAACAAATTCTAAATTCTAAATTCAGTTACCATCTCTTTTCTATATAAAATTTTAGATTCTTGAGAAAAATGTATTATATTCTTCGTTAGCTCCAAACTTCTAAAAAGAAAAAACAACAAATATATAATTTAGACACTGACAAAACAAACCTTGTGTAAGGAGGAGTGATGCAAACAATTGTTTCAAAACTTAAATTGCACAAGATTATGCAAATTCTGTGATTCCTATTTGAGAAACTCATATTCCAACAAATAGCATAGCAGCAAATCCCGAAGAAAAACCAAAAGAAATGGAGAGATTTCAATTTGGTTTTAAACATTTAAGAGATATAAAGATAGGAATCATTTTAACTTAAAGAAATATAAATCCATATAGTATATTTACTCATTTTTCTTGTGTAGTTTCATTCACCGTCGTTTCATCATTTCTCAAGTGAGTTATCTCACAAATTCTTAATTGACTAGGTTCATTATTAGTGTCACGAACCTATTTAAATGAAAAATATATATTAGATGATTGTACTAGATTAAAAGAAGTTTATGTGATTGTTCATTTACCTCTTTCTCAACCCTTTGTTGTATACTCTGTGAACCGCATATGTGATATACATTCAATTTAGAACGGTTCACTTTGTTCCTTTCACATATCTCCTACATTTGAAAAATAGAAAATGAGAATGATTACCATTTAAAGAGATAAACCTATTCTTGTTATATGTACTAGAAGACAAGTTTTAAAATATAACCGGATATTCAGTTGACTTCCACAAGTTTGCAAGATATTCTGCATCTTCTCTTGTAATTTCTAGTGGAATATTAGCCAAAGCTTCTGCAACTGTATCATATTTGTACAACCATTTTTTCTTCAAGCTATCTCTCCAATTATTATAAGATCGATTAAGTTGACGTAAAACATAAGCCTCATGACCTTCAACTTTAAATCGCTCCTACATGGCAAAAAACAATGGTTTCTTTTTATATCACATACTAATGCAAGTTCAAATAGTTTTCTTTTTGTTGCCATGTCAATATCTTTCAAACTTTTCACTTGTAGAGGTGTAAAGTTGACTTGTCGAGCCAAAATAGTACATTGGCTTTTGAAAATATCAACATTATCTCCAACCGGTCTTTTGTTCCCCCATGATACTTCAAATCTAATCCCATGAGATAATTTAACTAGTTTAAGATTGCGTGTGGGACCACGCACTTTTCTTGACCCTAAAAAAGAAGATTCTGAAATAAAAAGAAAAAAGAAAGGGTGAGTTAGAAACAAATCAAATAAAATTAAGTTAACTAAAAAAAATATTACCTCCATTAACAGTCCTTTCATAACTTCTAGACCTGTTGATCCAATTTCTCCTGTAAACAATGATGAAGCTTCTAGACCAACTTGTGTTTTAGATTTTGTTGAAGATATAGATGTAGTCGCCCCTACAGTACTATTCTCATGACTATTTATACTATTTCTATCTTGGAATTTGAACTTTGCTCTATGAGATGAAAAGTTTTTCATCTTTTTCTCTATCATATATTGCACTTAAGAGTAGAAATTGTACTTCCAACCTGCAAATTATAACCTTCTCAAATACAGATAATTCTACAAGTCAGTCTCTAACAAATAAGCAGTACATAATATTCAATTCAAATAATTTTCTAAACATATTAATAAAGTCATATAATTGGGCAATCGCTTAGGAAAATCATTAATACAAGGTTCATAATACCAAATAACAAGAAGTAATTCAAAAAGAAGTCACCATCACCAAACAATTATCAACATTAAATTCCTTCATCGTCATCTTCTTCTTGACAATCTGCATCTTTGATTACAAGGATCTTGTAATAATCTCTTGGATCAACCTTCAACAAAAAATACCAAGTTGGATTTCTTCTATCTTCAAGGTAAATAACTTGTTCAGATTGACATGCCAATATCAAATGTGTAGGTCATATTCACACTAGTCGGTCCATGATCATCAACTCTAATTCCTTTACCACGACTATTGATATCCCACCATTTACATTTAAACAAAACAACATTATTTCCTCCCATATACTGCAATTCAATAATTTCATGCAACACACCAAATTGTCAGTTCCTCTCACTACTACTCCACTATTTTGTGTTTTTCTTAAATCATCAACAACCTTTATACAAAACCTAAAACCATTAACAATATATCCTTTGGTAGTATATATTACTTCTTGTGATGGACCTCGAGCTAAATCTAATAGTTGTTTGTCAACTTCATTGCTTCCTTCATTATATAGTTCAGTAACCTACATAGACAATAGTATCATGTTTAATAATAAGTAGATAAATACAAACAAATAGATCATAACTACTATGTCTTTTCTTACTTACATGACTTTCAAACCATTCTATAAACTCTTTATCATACTTTCTCTGTGCATTTCTGGCATCAACATGTTGTAATGCTTGTGTGTGTTCACTAAAAAGAATTATAAAATCAAAACACATTTTATGTTTCATTTTAAAATATTTATCACTAATGAAATTTTTTCTTACCCAATATACGGTAGGACGTCATCACAATTCTTTAAAATATAAAGATGTGCTTGTCTCCACTCTTCTACTGTTAGCCTTCTTGATTGTTTACCTGATCGCATAGGACGACCAACTGGTTTAAAAATAGACAATCCATCATATGAACTATGATCATTGTCTTCATTTCTTCTCATTTTATTGAACTTAGTTTCAATGGTATGAAAATATCTGGTGCAATATAACCTTCTGCTATAGATTCTTCAGGATGAGCTCGATTGCGCACATAAGCCTTTAGCTTACTTAAGTACCTTTCAAATGGGTACATCCACCTATATTGAACTGATCCAGAAATTCTAACTTCATTTGGCAAATGAACTAATAGATGCACCATTACATCAAAAAATGATGGTGGGAACATCATTTCCATTCTACAGAGAATCCTTATAATTTCATCCTCGATAATTTTTATATCATCAACTTTAACCACTTTGGAGCACAATGTCTTAAAAAAATTGCTCAAGTCAATCAATACGTCTCGTACATCCTTCTTCATCAATCCTTGCAATGCATATGGGAGCAAATATTCCATAATAACATGATAGTCATGACTTTTAAGACCAAATATTTTTCTTCCTTTTAGATTAACACACCCCCCAATAGTAGAAGAGAATCCATCTGGAACCTTTAATGTGTTGAAGTACTCACAAAATGCATTTTTCTCATCTAAAGATAATGTACAACATGAAGCTGCTAGGTGCCATTTGTTTTCATGTTGTACTGGATGCAATTTTGTTCTTATTCCCATTTGCTGGAGATCAAGACGAGACTTCAAGTTATCTTTTGTCCTCCCCTTAATATTCAATAGCGTACCAATCATATTTTCACAAATATTTCTTTCAATGTGCATGACATCTAAATTATGTCGCAACATTAATGTGCCCCAATAAGGTAACTCAAAGAATAAACTTTTCTTCAACCAGTTTTTAGCACGTTTCCTTTCTTTCACACTATTACCAAATATATATTCTTCAAATTGATTCACTTGCTCAAGTATATCACTTCCAGACAATTGCTCAAGACGTAATTCTTCTTCAATATGCCCATCAAACAATTCTGGTTGTAGTCTCCTTTCATAATCTAAAGGTAAAAAACGACGATGACCCATGTAGCACATTTTCCCACTATTTTTTAAATAAAGTGATCGAGTATCAAAATTACATGAAGGACAAGCTAGGGTACCTCTTGTATTCCAACCAGATAAGTTTCCAGATAAGTCTTCATTCTGGTTGCGATGCTTGATTTCCAGTTTTTATCCCACTTTTATCCATGTTGTACAACAAGCTTGTGATAAGAATAATGTGATACGCTTCTCTGTTAAAGTAAAAGACTACCTAAAAAAAAAGAGATCTTAAACTAAAAATTAAATGTTAAACACTAACTTGATCAAGAGAATACATGTACTACAAAAAGCAATTACCAATCACCATATAACAATTGCATGGTAAATAGCAGATCCCATTGTACTGAAAATAAAGATTCCCTTATGAATTGCTACCATATCCTCTTCCCCCAAGCACCCTCGACTTGCTAGATTTTGAATAATAAAACAAACAATAGTCATTCATAAACATCAATCTAACATATGCCTAAATAAGGCAAATGTGGATATTTACAAATGAGCAGCAAGAACTGGATCACTATACTCATTTAACAATCCACCTTCAAGGAAAATAACTAGACAGACATTTATTAATAACTAATATTAATGCTGTCACAATTTTCTACCAATAAAACAAACCAAGGTACCTTCTCCTGAGTGCCTCGAAATCACTTAAAACACTGGAAGGTTTCTGTTAGAGTAGAAGCAGATACCCTGAAGGAAAAACATCAAGGCAGTAAAATTAGTAAAGAATAATAGTTAGTAACTAATTATAAAAACATCAAGAATTAAAATTAGAATAACACATCACACAAACTAAAAAAAAAACAAATTAAAAAATAATAATAGCTAAGCAATTATTAAAACATTAAGACAGTAAAATTACCAATTAAATAATAATAATGATAGTTAAGTAATTATAAAAACATTAAGGTAGTAAAATTACAAAATAAAGAATAATAATAGGCAACTAATTATAAAAACATTAAATAATAATAGCTAAGTAATTATAAAAACATTAAGGCAGTAAAACACTAACAATAAATGGTACAACATATTTATCCTAGAAACTTTATACACATGAAAATCTGTTGCATTTGCCAGTCTTATCAAATGCCAAATAAAGATTTAATATCATTGAAATGTTGCTTTTCTAGTCCAAAACAAGCCTGCCTCTGAAGTCCGTAACTCACACATCAATCAAAATAAAATGTTAAAATGAGGATTAGTTACTGACTAGTCCAACAACTCCCATATTGTTCTGATTCATAGTCACTTACACCACTAAATAGAACAAGTCATAGTAGCCATATAACTAATAATGATCAGGAAGGAAGAATTAGAATCCTGGATTCATTCACCTAATGAGAAACTAGAGAAAGGATGCTATATCCGCTGACTAATAAAAGCAAACATTTAAAAGCCCTAGTGGGGATCAAAATATGATCAGAACAATGCAATGTCTGGTGTGTGCAAATTACCATAAGGACAAAGGACAACTACAATGTTGTATCCTCCACTAACAAAACCAATTCACACGATCCCATATTTCGTCCTCATTTCTAAAAGTTTCATCTAATCATCACCCGTTCAATATATTTTTTCCTTAGTTATTGTGCAATTAATTGCAATAATCGCACATAATATCAAAGAGAGCGCGGAAAAAATGAAATCTCACCTCAAAGAGGCAGCACAATTTTATTGACGAACACCATTTTCCTTCATTGACAAACAAAGATTTCTTAAATCCATAAATTGCATCTCAATAAAATTGTATCAATTATGTACCAGAAACAGAGTAGAACACACTTATATTTACTACATCATATATTTTCAGTAGCTCTAGGGCAAGAACTACCGAATCAGACATAAACAATAGGAATAACCAAAGGTAAATGGGAAATAAGAATAGACAAGAAAAGGGGAGGCACCGGACCTTTACGAACTTGGGAATTGCTTCCGGAACCAGACTCCATTCTTTGACGATGAGCAGCGATCAACTTAATAGGCGGAGAGCAATCAAAGAAAACTACAGTAATGTAATTTACTGTTCTCGGTGCCAGACTGAAAGAACGGAGAAGAAACCTAGCCGCAACTAAGGTAACGTTCCTTTTTAGAAAGGTAAAGTTCTTTTTTTCTAAACAATAGAGTTCTTTTTCTTGTTTAGAAAGTAAAGTAAATTTTATTACTTTTAATAATATTATATATTTGTAGAAGGTTTTAATAACCTTCGATAAAAGGTTTAGGTCTTTTTAAGAGGTTTACAATAACCTTCGATTAAAAACAAAATAATGTTGATGTGTGGATTTCGGTCCTCCGGATCTCCTCCTCGCACACACCTAACTCGATAATTCGATGATGATACCTGCAAAACAAAATCGAGCTAAACCGGTGTAACCTTAGTCACACGGGGCTCTGATGCCTAAGTTAGCAAGGGAAAGTTGAGAAAGCAATGAACTGGAGACGTTTTACTTGCCTTTTCAGGGTTGGATCTCACTGCTTCTTATAGCCGTGAAGATGATTCCAGAACCTTCTGTAGTCAAACCCTAATTCAGTGTTGCAGGGCTAGAGGGGAATCATTGATCGCAGCCCTGCTCGGCCCGGTTGGTTCTCTGCCGATTGCTTTCCTCGTTCCTCTATAGCTTGGCCTTTTGTCGATTTTTCGTTGCATAACAATTGCCTTCTACTCCCAAGACGATGCTTCCGATTTTGTCTTCATCTCCTTGGGAGTATAACTTTTGTCGTGACTTGTCCTTCCTTGTCAGACCCGTGACCGAGGAGATCACGAGCTCCTCGGGGTCCGCACCGAGCATGCCTCGATTTTTATCGTCAAAGATCGTGGCCCGAGCCTATTTAGCTGTCATGTCACTATGGGACCCGTGAGAACTATAGTCGAATTGTCCCATCTTTCATGAAACACGAGTAGATTGATGTTGATTTTCCCCTTCATTGCGAGACCCGAGGCCATCGGCCATGCAATTGTCGCATCAACTGTAGACCCGTTACCTTGAGGTCACGGGAGTGTTGGGTACCGAGCCGAGCACACCTCGGTCTGTTGGGTAAAGACCTCCAGACCGAGAGCTGCGCCTCTGAGTTGAGGGCTATTTAAACCCCTTTATTCTCTCAATTTCTTGGCAACCTCTGTACAAGTTATTCTTCCCTTTACTTTGCTTTTTGTTGTGTTTTCTCTTCATGGTCGATCTTAATTTCGAATAGACCTCCTCGGATGATGGATCATCGTCGAATCCTTCGTTTGAATCTCGACCCTACCATCCGTTCTAGGTGGATAATTCCACTCTCACGGTGAGGGACTTGCGTCGCTTGCGTTCAAAATACCATATCCCGGATTCAGTTAGCCTTCGTCTTCCGAATCCGGGAGAGAGTATTGATGGCTCTTTTCCCGGTGAGGTTGTATTTTATGCAGCTATGTTCCAATTTGGAGTCCACCTACCATTGCCTCTTTTCCTTCAAAACTTTTTAGCTTTCAATCAAGTAGCTCCCTCCCAAATCGTCCCGAATGGGTGGTCTATTTTGATCAGTTGCTTTATTTTGTGGTCTTACTTCGGGGGCGAGCAACCTCTAACCGCCGCGGATTTCATGTTGCTTTATTACCTCAAACACAGTCCCGATGATAACTTTCAATTTTATCTTAGTTCTCGGAACCAGGTTCTCGTTATGGGTCCTTCCTCAGTGAAGCATTGGAAGAGTGAGTGGTTCTTTGTCGGTGGCGATTGGTTAGCCCGTGACGAGGGAGGACTATACTTTCTCGTCCCGACTGAGTGTAGGGAGTTAGCTAAGTAGATTCCCGAGCTCTATCAAGACTTTCGTAGATATCTATTATGATATTTCTCTTTTTTGTTGACAGTTTCCCGTAATTGTGAGCTTACTGTCGAGGCATTCAATTTCTACCATACTGTTATCCAGTACCCAGATACCGAGTGTTGGGGTCCATATCTGGTTAAGGAACAGAACTTATTGGACTTTGGCTTGGCTCCCCCTCATAACCCTCCAGGTACTTGTCGAAATCCTTTTTTCGTTTTGCGTGAAAGTCGATTTTTACATTTATCTCTACTTGTAGAAACGTCGAGACGGAGTGCTTCCTTGTATGAAAGAGAACGCCGCTGAAACGCTCGATGTTCGAGAGCCGGCTCTAGCCGGGCTTTGGATATCGATATGACTAACTTGACCGAGGAAGGACCCCCTTCTCAACATGCTCGCTCCTCTATGCCTCCTACAGTCCCGAGGCATTCCGCTCGACTTCATGGGACGTCTATCCCGTCAGCCCCTCGAGGTTATCCAGGGAGCTCCTTCTGGAAAGGGCATTTAGCCTTTAGCAATGGCTGATGTTGATGGGACAGCCTACCTGGAAAGGGCATTTAGCCTTTGGCAAGGGCTTGGCGACTCATCGAGCGGGTCCGATTTTGGCCTGTCAAATCCTTAGCACAGCATCTGTACGTGCCTTAGCGATCTTCACCAGGTGAGCACTTTGTAGCTTCAAGTATTTGTCATAGCATCTTTCCCTAACGTCGGTTTCTGTCCTTGGCAGGTTTTCAATCGTCTAGTGGTATTCTCGGGTCGCGTTGCCAATGAAATTAATCACCTCCGCTGCCACTATGCTCCTCGGGAAGAGTTGAATCAGGTTCTTTCTTCCTTGAACCAAGCCAACAGTCTTTTGAAGAGTAACCAACGTGAGTTTGAAATGGAGAAGAGAAAATCTTGAGATGAGCTGGCCAACCTGCAGAGGAGGCTTGACGAGGCCAACCCTCTAGCTCTCTAATTCTGAATTCTTGGCTGGGGAATTCAGAAAACTCAAGAGTATGTCGATCTGCAAAATTCTGCCATGGAGTGCTGCGTTTCATGGTCCTGTTGCAACGTCATCACGACGCGGAGCGGCCGACGTCATCCCCTGACGGGTCTCTTTCGAGATTCGGGTTTGGAGTCGCCACCAATCATCTACGAGGTGTGATTGGTCACCTATTTTTAAAAAGTTGGTCTACGAAAACAGAATTTTGGTTCGGGAGTCGACTGAGTGTAGGGAAGGTGTTAGCACCCTACGACACCCGTTCGAAAACGGTACCATACTTTGTCAACAATTATCCTATTATAATTTGGTTCAAAAAGAAAAATATTTTGTGTTTGATTTTTAAATGTCCCAAATTTATTGGTTTGATAAAATATGAACCAACAAGCATGAGTGGCGCAAAGACCATTAGAAAAACAAATTATCCCCTCGAGAATATTGGAAAGATCCAATTTTTGTCATTGGGATTTTCGAAATAATTATTTA